CTCTAGACTTTCTTCTTTGGACCCATGACCACCACTTTCAGTTGCCAGCCTATCATGTTTTTGAAAGTTCAGACCCTGGTAGTAGATCAACTATCTTGCCTAAGCCTGGACCTTTCCCACACAGTGCTTTCTCCATCCTTTTGGTTTTTTTAATGGATTTGCTTCCACTGTAGGTGTCCTGTCATCACTGCCTTTACACCTACTCTCTGCTTCTCACTTCACTTCCACTCATTTGGTATCCAATCCCAGGCTATAAAGCACTGGCTGAGGATGCTCTATGTCTTGTATGGTTCAACCTCCTTTTATATATTTCAAACATATTTCTTTCCCCTTCTAGCTTGTGGGAACCATCACTCATTTTTGCTTTGACTTCCTCCTGCAATATTTACCACAGGGATATAATCAACTTCTTTCCAGACTGCCCCAACATTTGGGTGAATTGAGAAGGTTATTGGATGTTTTCTTAAATTATCCTCTCTTCCATTTCTTCCCCATATGTCTATTTATTATTATCTCACCCATACTGCCCTTTTTTTTAGGACACTTACCAGTGCCTTTCTTGCCATGGAATTCCTCTTTTTCTAATGACTTATCTGTTTCCACTTGGCTCAGTTGGGTTGTATACCTCATCCAACTAGTTTCTTCATCAGTGGATGAGGATTCTTTTCTTGTTTTTCATGTCTTCTTCCATCATGTTTGTCATGTCAAGGCTTCTCTTTCCTGTAGTATTGACATTGCCTGTAAGAGTACTTGCAGGTGGGGATGCGAATGACCCCTGACATGTGAGTGTCCCATTACTTACACCTACCCTGGCTTTTGTCTCCCTCCAGCCACCATTCTTTACTGTTCACAGTGGCACTGGTGAAGAGGTGTTTATCTTTATTCTTTCTTTTTCAGATCTCACAAACTTATTCAAAATATATATACATTATGGAGATGATGGAACCAACCAAGTGGCTTGTGTTACCTCACAGGGAATACTTACCTAAAAATATGCATTGAGTGGGAGGAATATGAAGTGTTGAGTCAGTTTGCCCTTGCTCAGTGCCCTGTGTACAGATGGATTTCCTTCAAGGCTGCTTTGTTCTTGACTGTTTTGTGAAAAACAATTAACAGCATCAAGTGTATGTCTGCCCTCACATTTGGTTTGCACCTGCTGTCATTAATTGTGGTAACCGTATTTTTCTGTGTATAGGACGTACTTTTTTTACCCCAAAATTTGATGTCAAAATCTGCTTGCATCCTATACACCGAAGGTATGAATAATATGTATGTATATATACGATATACACAAGCCATGTATAAGTATATTTAAATAGGCATGCATAGTTTAGTTCAATTGAATGTGTTATTTATAACAATAGTAGTTTGTTTTTTTTTTCTTTTAAAAACATAACTATTTATAATTCTCCCTAAATAATAAAAAATAAATTATAGTAATGGATGAGAGTGAAAAATCTTGTAAATACACAACGATCCCTGTTTAATGTGGAGCAGAATAAGGCTGTTTCAGGCCTAACTTTAACAAATGAAAAATTGTTTTTGAGTGCTTCCCATCGATTCAAATTTGCAATGAGCTTGACCAATCAGAGCGCTTAATGCAATTCGTGTCGGTAATCGCCTGATTGATATTTCAATTTTCATTTGATACTCAGCAGTCTGGCACGTGCTTACTGTCAAGTTGGATGCATTACCGAAAGCCGAAGTACCGTATCCTAGGCCTCTGGAGCAAAATAGTTGTTTCTTCATTTTTTGTTCTATTTTTTCACCCCTTATGATGTCTAAAGAAAAGAGACTGTCATACAC